TAGATAGATATGAGTATATATATATATATATATATATATATATATATATATTTGCGCACGCATACACATACCCATACATATATGCATACACATACATGTACGCGTACACGTACACATTTACATTCATAGACGCAGACACAGACACGGACACATATACATATACGCATACACACACACACACACACACACACGCTCTCTCTCTCTCTCCCACAGTGTATGCACATGACATATATATGTATGTATATATATATATATATATACACATGTATATATACACGTTGGCCCGAGGGAATCTGGAGGAAGTGTGCTCATGTTGGGTTCGAAGCCTGAGGAGGCAGAGGGGTTTGGTTTCTGTGGAACCCCGGAGACCTTAAGAAGACCCTTGTGGCTTTGTGGAACCCTTTTAAAAAGGGTACTATAGGGTTCTATAATAGGGTTCCTTAACGGGATCTATAGGGGCTACAATGGGGATCATTGGACTTAGTAAGTAAGGTTATAGGTACCTTAATTGGGGTTATAAGTATCGTTACCCTAACTAAAACCCAAGTTTCTAAGTCCCATGATCTTTTAAGTTGTGGAAGTTGAGTTAATATGGAACCCGCATAGAACCCCAAGCCCTAAAGCCTAAGCCCTGAACCCGAAACCCTAAACCAGCTGTATGCATATATATATATATATATATATGTATATATATATATATATATATGTATATATATATATATATATCTTTATTTATACCCAAGCCCTAACCCCTAAACTCTCAAACTTAAACCCCAAACCCATTCTCAAGCAAAGTCTACGGCATCGCCTGCTCCCACAGTTGGTGCCGGATGCGGAAGAGCTGGTGTTTGGAAGAGTGGGGCACCCTTCGGAGACCATACTCTCAGGGTTTGGGCGTTTAGCGAGGTTTGCAAAATTCCGGAACCCCAAAACCCACAACACATCCCAAACTTCAAACCCTCAGCCATCCGGAGGGGCTCCGCTTCTCATGTTCCTCCTGCCTGCAAGCTCAAGACGAGAGAGGGGCCCCCTTGGCCTTGAGCCCGGGTTCCCCCCAAGGTGCCGAATATCCTTAGGGGTACTTAGAAATATTTTTTTGGTTATTAGAATCCCTAAGAAACAGCTAAAATTAAAATTTTTGCTAGGGTTCTAAGTTCAGTATAGTATCGGGGCCAGAAGGATCAGAACAGGGTTTTGGGGTATATTATACTTTAACTATAAACAAGGAACCCCCCAAGATAGTATAGGTAATTTTTAAGCTCCTGCATTATAGGGTTCCTGTACTGGTTCTACTGGGGTTCTCTAAGGGATATGGGGTTTAGGATGTAGGCTTTAATGCAGAAACCGAATAATCAGCAATCGTTTTCCTTGGGGTGCGTGATCCAAGTATTACTCATCATTACTCTTTGGGGTTGGGGTTTAGGGCTTAGTCCTAAGATTATCCAGAGAAGCCACACGGCCGCAACCCCCAAGCCTGCCTTCTCGAGCACCCTGTGGAGAGGAGTGGAGATGCCGGGAGCTGAAGCGTGCACCTTCAGCTACTCCATGTAAGACGGCCAGGAACGCAACACCCTCAAGGAGCCCCAAACCTTGAACTCCTCAGGTGCAGAATGCTCCTCCCTTGGGCCCCCGATCCTCATCTTGAGATGTTGCTTTTGAACCCGCTCCCGAAGGTGAGTGCGAGTCTCCATGTCCTCTTTGATGCCTGAGGCAGTGGCCAGCTCCGAAACTCTAGGAGTCCAGATAGTCCTCTTTTCATGGGATTCCTTGAGGCTTTCTCCAAAAGATCTAGAAGAAGCAAAGGGGAGCCAACAAAAGAATGAGCCGAATTCGGGAAATGTTCTCTAAAGCCTATATGCCTAAACCTAGTCCTGAACCTCACAAGCCTTAAGCCCTGAACGTTAAAGCCGAAAGCGCCATAGCCCTTAGCCCGGAAAGCCCCAAACCCGAGATCGTAAGCCCGAAGCCTTAAACCCTAAAGTGGTGTGTGGGTCCCTTTAAGGGGATCTATGGGGGTTCCTTAAAGGGATCTATGGGTTTAGGGTTTAGGGTCTACTTAAAGGATCATGGGACTTAGTAACTCGGGCTATAATTTGGGTAACTATACTTATAACTACTTATAACCCCAAATTAAGGTACTCATATTCTTACTTACTAAGTCCCATGATCCCCATTTTAGAACCCTGTGATAGATCCCTTTGAGGAACCCCATTATAGAACTAAGGAGCCCCATTATAGAACCCAATATAGCACCCTTATTAAAGGGAGCCTCCAAGTAAAGCCTGAAGCCTCGGATCTCTATCGGCCGCTGCCTCGCCATTGCCAGCAGTGGACCGCGACTATTCGTTGTGCGAGCTGGGGGACGGGGCTTAACAATAAAAAACCCTAAACCCTAAACCCTAAAGGTTTGTATTCTTTCAGGGCTTAGAGGTTTGGCGTCTGAGTCTGGGGGCTCGGGTTTAGGGTTTGGCATTTTGCAGTTTAGGGGTGCGGGATTGGTCGCTTAGAGTGAGGCTTCGGGGTTTAGGGTTGAGGAGAATCAACACAACTACGCAGTGCAACGGAAAGACTAATCTTTGGCCCTCAGCCCTAAATCCTAACCCTGTGGACACCAACCCGAAGTGCCAAGAAGGTGCCCTGCCCGAGATCCACACCGGGGTTGGCCAACACTTCACCACCAACGCAACGGGTGACGAAGGGCAATGTCGGGGTCGGAGTAATGCCTAGTCGTAGCGTCGGTCTCGGCATATTTATCCTGCAAAAGGCCTGGAAGTGCCATGCCAGTTGTCAAGGCCCCCTATGGCAACTAATTATACAACGCGTAGCCATTGTGGCGATCTTGACTCTCCTTAAACCTGAACTCCTGCAGCGTTTAGGTTTTAGGGTTTAGGGTCGAACACAAGAACGAGCCGCTGAAGATCCTCGTGCGAGCTCCCATCGACTTCTCCAGTCGTTAAAACTGTCCTTGCACCCTGACCCCGCCAGCTGTTATAAGTATAGTTACCCTACTTATAACCCCACTTTATAACTACCCATGAACCTCCAAGTAGAACTTTAAACCCTAGACCCTAAGTGGTCGCACCAGCTCGCATTCGTCGGGCTTCGCTCGACGGTTCGAAGAGCCATGCACGGATCTTCTGACACACCTGAAGCGGGGGATCCTTCGAGGGTGAGGGGCCTTAGGTTTAGGGGGTTTAGTGGTTCAGGGGTTTGGTGGCATTAAGGGGATTTAGGGATTGCCTAACTCGAGTACGTTGGAAGAGCTGGGTGCATGGACGGCTCTGTCTGCTAAGGAGCAGTTTTATTCTGATGAGCCTCAGGGCATGCCTGGAGATGCATGCGCTGTGCCGGTGCGATAGGCCCCGGAGCCTAAAGAAAAAGCAAAACAACAGAAGCAAGAGGCACGAGCGTGAAATCCCTTGAAACAGAAGACCCTAACCCCAACTGAAAGCCCTCAGCGAGAATGATGACAACATGGAAGGCCAAACAGAAGAAAGCTGCCTCATACGGAATTGCCGGTGATGACGGTGGTTGTGACTGCGATGGCGGTTCATGATGATGATGATGATGATGATCATGATGATGATAGTGACGATAGTGAAGATGGTGGAGATGATGCCCGGACCGCGACTCTGCCAATGAGGATGGATGGTATCCAAGATGTGATGAGGACAGTTATTCTCACTGCTACCATTCGCATCATGTTTACTACTGCCCTTGGTGCTGTTGTGGCCCGTAGCGCTCATTTTCTAGTATTGGTTCTGGGAGGGTTTATCCGATCCCGTCATTAAGGTACACACCCTATACCATTCTACAAGACCGAACCCCCCAAGTGCTGTTCTGATTATGAAGACCCTTACAGAACCCTCATTTCAAAGGAACCCTATATGGCGCATTTCTGAATACAGCAAAAATCAGGGAATTAGGGTGTTGCTTCATGGGTCTCCAAAGGCAACTCAAGACGTTTCACGGCACGACTGCAGTGCAATCCTCCTGTGGCAGCAAAAGGGGTATCTTCGGGCTTTTATAGCAAGGGACCCCTCTCTCTGCTTCAAGGGGTTTGGGGCTTCGGGGTTTAGTGTTTTAGGGTTGAAGAGGCTCGTGGGAATGTTATTTCAAGAAGGTGAACCTTCCCGGTGCAGAGGTTTAAAGTCTCAGGTAGCGTTGTTCGCGGTCCTACGCCGCCGAAAGACCCTGGATAGTCGTGTCAGCAATCCTAAAGCTTGCCTAAACCCGAAACCTTAAAGTTGGTATCACACGGCTGCAGACGGTGAGAGCAGCAAGATGAGCGGAGAGAGGACGCATGACATGCGGTCTTCGAATTACCCCCGACCTCGGAGGGCCGCAGGCTTGACTGCGATAGACCAAAGCTCTAGAGCCGGCTACGGGTTGAACCCTGAACCCCAAACCTTCTCCCCCAAATCCGACAACGGGACCCTAAACCCTAAACCCTAAACCCTGAACTCTAAACCCTGAACTCTAAACCCTAAACCCTAAACCCTAAACCGTGGTCCCCTCCTTTGCCTTTCAGCGTCGAGCTCGGCGAAGGCCGCTTTGCCACAGAGGTCGCCAGAGCCCCAAGCCCTACCCAGAGACTCGAATATCCCTTAATTAAAGCATATACCTTAAATCATACTAGGGATCCTACCATAATTTAAGGTATATTCCTTAATTAAGGGATATTGGAGTCTCTGGGTACCTTGACCCCAAAACACCCTACTTGGAGGTTCATGGGTAGTTATAAGTGGGGTTATAGGCCCCCTCATATGAGTTATAAGTAAAGTTACCCTACTTATAACCCCACTTATAACTACCCATGAACCTCCAAGTACGTTCACGTTTATGCAAGGAATTTGAAGAGATTATTTGGGGTTTGGAACTGGCAACCCAACGCTGTTGCATCTTGGAAGTCTAAACCCCGAAGCCCCTAGCCCCGATCCTCCATCGAGCCATGGGCCTTCCCCCGTAAATGCGGCATTTCTGCTTCCCTGCTCCCTGAGATGGAGGACAGCTTTGAATATGATCGTTTCGGCCCTTTCTGTTCCGGGCTTCCTAGGGCTTGGGATTTACCCCCGTGTCCACATATGAAGGCCCTGAAAGGAATTCAACTCGTAAGGCTTGCATACCCCAAAAACCGGTCAGCATCAAATTGTAAAGCTCTGAAGTTGCGGGCTGGGCTTACAGCCGTTTGCACAAAATAAACCGTTGAACCTTAAAACTCCTGAGGCCCTAAACCCCTGAACCCTCACCTAAACTTTACCTAAACCCTTGAGCCCAAACCCAAAACCTATCAACTGGACGACCCTCACCCTAAATCCTAAACCCCAAACCCCAAACCCTAAACCCCTAAACCCTAAACCCGAAACCGTGGCGCCGAGAAGGAGGAGGCCCGAGCCGCGTTCGAGCAGCGGCGACTTGACCGGCTTTGGGTTTCGGGTTTCAGATTCAGGGTTTGGGGTTTACGGTTTCAGGTTTAGGGTTTGGGGTTGAGGGTTTCCTTCTCAGGGTTTGGGGTTTAGAGGGTGAGAGCGTTTAGGGTTTCAGGTCGGGGTTTGGTTTCGGCTTTGTCTTGAGGGTCCCGTTGTTTGGGGTTTGCTAAAGCAGCCAGGGCTGCTTTGGATTTGGGGGTTGCGGCTTTCGATTTTCAGGCGGTAGGCTTCCAGGTGTGTGATTCTATGCATTAGAGCTTCGCGCTGCCCGAAGTAGCTGGGTTGAACGTCATCATGATTTCGTGTCAGTTTCTAAGTTTACAGTACAGTTGCAGATCACTGGTTCGGTTACTGCAAAACACCTTTGTTTGGGGCTTAGGAATTCAGGGTGTGCGACTTGGGCTTCCGAGCCCGAGTATTTGGTTTAGGGTTCCGGGTTTAGGGGTTCAGGGTATCAGGGGTTTCGGGGTGCAGGGTTGCGGGGTTCAGGGTTTAAGGGGAACACGCTGCAAAGCCCGAAGTCGAAGCCTCCCCAGCCAACCACAACTCATAGGAGGCCACAAGGAGTTTCAGCCTATGGGGCTTTAGTAGGGCTTAGGGTTCCCATAATAGGGTTCATATTCAGGAATCCCTACCCCAAGAATCTTAAACCAGCCTTTTGGCCTCCCATCAGCTTGGTCGGCTCTGCGTGTTGTGTGGGTTTTAGTGTTTGGCAGTTGAGATTTCGGGTTTAGGGGATCCCAACTGCTGGGAAACTCAACAAAACCTGAACCCACGAGCTTAACGCTCATGAGCCCAGCTTCCTTAAGCGATAAACCTTGATCCCAGAACCCCTAAACCTTAAAGCCCTAGCTCCGGAACCCAGCATGTCGAGGATTGTGGAAGAACTGACCTGGGCACGGACGAGGAAAGGGGAGTGGGCCGGGATTTGGGCGGTTTGCGGGTTCCTTCTTTTTGGACGGTGGGATCCGCGGCTGCTCTGGAGAATTCAGTACTTTAGGAAGCATACCGGGTTTTTTGGGCTTCTGAAGGCCCAGGGAGGTGAGGTGCCGGCCACAGGCCCTGAATCGCAGCATCGCAGCCCACCCAGGCGAGGCCGGAACCCTGAAGCCAGAAGCCCTCAATCAGCAACATCAGGAGCTGACCGGACTGCATCCCTAAGCCCTAAAGCTTAAACGCTAAGCTAAGCTCTACGCCGCAGAAGCCCCAAGTTTTTCGGCTGGAGGCCAGTCGAGCTCATCGATGCCTTGCGAGAGCGGCTGAAGCACTACAAGGGCAAGGAGAGCAAGGGCTTTACAGGGCCTTTGCAATGCGTTTTGGGATTGTAGGGTCTCTACTTGGAGGTTCATGGGTAGTTATAAGCAGGGTTATAAGTAGGGTAGCTATACTTCTAATTCATATTCGGGGACTTATAACCCTACTTATAACCACCCATGAACCTCCAAGTAATTCGGGCAGGGGGCTCCGGGTTTGGATGGCTTTAGGCTTTGGGGATCCCTGAAAGACGACTTGCCAACCGAAAGCCTGGTCGAGCCTACCTCCTCTTCTTTAGATTCCTGTCGTGGTACTATATACCCAAACCTACCCTGAACCCGAAGCCCTAAACCCTAAATCCAAGTTGGACTTTGGGGGCGGCCTCGGTTCGGCGGCTGCAGGATTGCTATCCACCAGAGCGTGCAGGTCAGTGCGTGGTGACCAAGGCAGGAGGTGGTTTTAAGGCTTTTATTGGGGGTCTGCAAGAGCTTGTAAACAAGGGTTTTCTAACGATTCTTTAAGGGTTCCATCAAGAAGGGTCTGACGCAATAAGGCGCAAGGTGTGCTCAGATTGTGGATCCCCACAGCTTCAGGGGCTCTGTCTGTAGGGACCAGACGGTTCTGCTTGGGAAACCCTAAACCCTAAACCCTAAACGGTTCTGCTTGAGTCTTGGGGTCATTTGGGATTCGTGGCCTTGACATGTTCGGTCGTCAGGGGCCCCGAGGCTAGGGCATCATAACCCGTCAGCGTCTGCAGCAACGAAACAGGCCAACAGAAGCAGGTTCAGGGTGTAGAGTTGGGCAGAGGAAGCTAACGTAGGAACCTGATTAAGAAACCTGGGGCTCTTGACAGGGTTCCTGAAAGTTTTTTCAATCCCTGCTATTTTGGAGTTATAGGCCCAGGGTTTCTTAATCAGGTTCCTACATTAAACTCCAAACTGTGTTGCTCTCGCGAGTTGGCTTCGTGATGCTTCTAGCAAGCAGCCTTTGCTGGAATTGAATGCTCAATCCTTTCTCTTACCTTTGGTTAGTAGGGACTGGAGGAATGGGGTAAAATTCTAATCTAACTACTATTATTACCATTCTTCCACTCCCTAACCAAAGGTAAGTTCTGAATTTGCAAACTCGAGCCAGCCCATTCTCCTCGTAGTTTCTCAAAACCCTCAGCCCTAAACCCTAAACCCTATGAGCCCTAAAGCTTGAACCCTAAACCCTAAACCCTAGACCCCAATAGCCCTAAACCCTAAAAGCCCTAAACCCTGAAAGCCCTAAACTCTAAACCCTGAAAACCCTAAACCCTAAACCTTAAACCGTAAACCTTAAAACGTTGCATTCCGGGAGTTGGGCCCCGACTCCGGTGCCCTGAAAAGCGCTCGGATGGATTATTATAGGATTTAGGGTTTAGGGTTTAGGATTTAGGGTTTAGGATTTAGGGTTTAGGGTTTAGGATTTAGGGTTTAGGGTTTAGGATTTAGGGTTTAGGGTTTAGGATTTAGGGTTTAGGGTTTAGTGTGTAGGGTTTAGGGTATAGGGTTTAGGGTTTCGGAAACGGCTAGAATGAGAAGCCCAAGCAACATAACCTAGACCCTCCGAATAATGAAGGAATGTACGGTTGTAGTAGGATCCCTGATACGATTTAAGGTATATTCCGTAATCAGTGGATTTTGGGATGGTCTGGGAACCTCATGAATCATTAGAGCTACGACCCCCGCAGGGCTTCCTGAATTTAATTTATACGACTCCAGTCTAGAAGCCAGAAAAAGGGGTCATGCGATTCCTCAGAGTGCTTCATGGTATGTATAATAATACAGTATACTCCCAAACTCAGTTTCTCATAACCTTAAACCCTCAACGCTACAAGGTTAAGGCTCTATCATAAGCCGAAAGTTCAGGAAGGCGCTGCCGTCGTCCGAGAAGCCATCGACTATGTGACAAGCTTGGCGTCTTATCCGGATGGGGATTCAGGCCTAAGGGTTTGCGGTTTCTAGGATTTAGGCTTTGGGGTTGAGGGTTCAGGGAGTAGGATCAGAGGTTCACGCCTTCGGCAGCCCGGTAGTAGCGAATTCAGGAAGTGTCTGGGGTTGCAGGGCTGTGAGGCACTTCTTTGTTGCTGCAGCTACAGGCTTGAACTTGCATTCCGGGATCCCAGGAGGCCATCCAGGCAAGATTGCTCAAGCGACGGAGTTCCGAGCTTTACAGGAATCGCCACACCTTCGCAGGAAACACTTCCACCAAATTTCTGTATCCCTTGAACCCCAACTCTTGTTTTCATGGCAGCCAAGGAAACCTTGGGGGGTGTTGGGACGGCTTCGCAACCAGGCACTGGGCGTTCATGATGCCGGGTCTAAGACCTGGGGGTGGAGGTTGTTTGGACCGTGCAAGGTACAGGGTTCAGGATGCACTTCCAGCTTGAAAGAAGCAGAAGCTTCAGGGGAATTCAGTCGGTCCCAACAGCAGAGGAACCTTTAGCGATATAACCACTGTAGAGCCCGTATGGCACGTGATTCACCCCCATAGTAGGCCTTGAAGTCACCCTTGGAGTAATCCTGACGCCGTAAACCCTGGGAAATATGAAGAGATAGTCAAGGCCAGCCTAAACCCTCAACCCTAAACCCTGAAGAGGAGAGGAACTATGAAGAGATATTCAAGGTTAGAGCATCACGAAACTCCACATCTCGCCGTTTCCCTCCACGTTCGAGTTTAGGGCTTGGGGGCTGCGTCATGTACCATAGAATCCTGTGGACTTACCAAGACTCTTCCTTGGATTTGGCTTTTGTGAGAAAAAGGTACCCAAAAGCCCTGCTCCAAGTATAAAGGGCACTAAATCTGGCGTGGAAAAACCTTCTGAGGCCTGCGCTCTTATAGTATCGTATAGCATAGTATAGTATACCGGGGGAAATCATAAGGAATAGGTATCCATAAGGAACCGCGAGCTCTGTTTAAGACCATTCTTACGAAGGCCTGGCGATGGCCGGTGAAGATCACGTCCATGATATTGGCGACCCGGCTTTTTTGGGGGTCTGAATAATTACCTATTCTTTTTTATGGGTTCCTGATTATTATATCTATAGTATAATGGACCCCAGAACCCCCATAAGATACCAGGGCTCCAGGTGTGCGGTGGGGCCTTTGCACCCTGTGGTTGATTGTCATGTGGGAGTTTCTGGAAATAGGCTAAATTGTAGGATCCTAATTATAAAGACCCAAAATAAGGTGCCCCTATATGATGCCACATATAATGTCATCGAAAGGAACATATCAGATAAGACCATATACCACCTTTCAGGTCATGTAGTATACTTAAAGGATCATGGGACTTAGTAACTAGGGTTATAATTAGAGTAACTATACTTATAACTACTTATAACCCCAGTTAAGTTACTTATAACCTTACTTACTAAGTCCCATGATCCTCATCATAGAACCCCTATAGATCCCTTTAAGGAACCCCATTATAGAAACCTATATAGTACCCTTATTAAAAGGAGCCCTAAACCTTACTTACTAAGTCCCATGATCCTTTAAGTAGATCCCTTCAAAGGGACCCTTTAAGGAACCCCATTATAGAAACCTATATGGGAGTTTCCGAAAATAGGGGACCCCAATATAGTACCCTAAATAGTAGCATCCTTATTACAAAGACCCGACAGAAGGTACCCCTAATTTTTGGAGACTCCTATATAGTACCCTTATTAAAAGGAGCACTACCGGTAAGGCTTCGGGCCGAGGATTTGCGGGCGTTTTGGGGGCCTTAGCTCTGGGGCCGGCAAAGAGAGGAGATCGGCAAGGATTTTGGGTTTATCTTTAGGGTTTAGGGTTTAGGGGTTTAGGGGTTTAGGGTTTAGGGTTGAGGGTTGAGGGTTTAGGGTTTAGGGGTTTAGGGTTTAGGGGTTTAAGGTTTAGGGTTTAGGCTCCCAGGCTCTCAGGGTGCAAAGTTTAGGGTTTTTTGTAAGGCTGCCATGCGCTCCCGAGGGTACATTGCAGTAAGCGGAGTAATTCTGGTTGGCGCGTCGGCGCAGCTACTAGGTGCGATTCAGAGGCGGGGTATGGTTGGAGGAGCTTGTTCATTCCTAAGAAGTCCGTCGTAAAATACCTGAACTGAGGCTGAGGGGGGGTCGTGTAGTCCAGGTAGTGATGATAGATGGGCACAGGCTCAGGGTTTTGGGGTTCAAGGTTCAGGTTTTAGGGTTTAGCGTCTACATAGGGTGGGCTGAGGCTCAAGTCTCCAGTTCACCAACTCTCCGATCTCCCTCTTGGCAGAGCTATGAAAGACAGCATTACCTAGACCCTAGACAACACATGGGAGTTTTGATATTCTTGTCATATTATATGTTATCTTATGGATTTATGTATGACATTATCTCGTACATGCTGAAATAGCTGGTGCACAAGGTTGCAAGGGGTGCTGCCGAGCAACACCGAGGCCAGACAGGAACGGCCTCGCACACCTCCTCCGATGGCACGAACGCTGCAGCCGGGCAAATGTGCTGGAGGGTGACAATAGAAGTTTGCTCCCGAAGCCCTAAGCATCCTAAGCGCTAAACCAAAAACCAAAAAAACCCGAAGCCTTAAACCCCCAAACCCTAAACCCCAACATAACCGTACGGAGGAGCGCTTGCGACAGATCGAGAAGCAGCGAGCGCGGTGTTCAGGGCTTCAGGGCTTATCCTATCAGGATTTCCTGTGTCATTATCGTTTTTTTTCTCATTGCTGTTGCTGTATACACAGGTGTCGTCGGAGGGCTTTAGTGGTAAACTGTTAGACTACAAGGTAGCAATCTCTCTGTTAGAGGAGAACTCCGGAGCCAATGGCGGCCCCGAGCCCCAATATAGGCGCCTTCATGCTTAGATGGGTTATCGATTATTCAGGCCCATACAGTATACCCTGAAATTTACGCTCAACATCCATTATGCCTCCAACCCTAAACCCTGATAAGCTCGTGACCCTAAGCACTGCAACACCTGCAACCCAAATCCACAAGCCTCGACCCTCAACCGAGAACTGGCCTTTCAAGAAATCCCAAATGCCCCCGCTAGTCCCAAAAATGCCCAGCTCAACATGTCCCTTCTAACAGTTCCGAGATGCCTTTCGAGAAATCCTTCTTGGCCCGTAGAAAGAAATCCCGAAGACCTTAAAGTAGAATCCCATCAGCCCTGAACCCTGAACCCGAAACCCTCCAGTTTAAGCAAAGCACCAAAACTCCAAAACCTAAACCCTAGAACCCTAAACCCTAAACGCTAAAACCTTGACTCCTAAACCCAAAGGCCCTAACCCCTAAACCCTAAAGCCTCCACCTTAAACCCCTAAACCCTAAAGCTGCGAGCAGTTGGGTCTCTTCTGCCCAGGCAGACCGTGCCCGCCGCTACGGAAACTTCGAACTCTTCGGGGAGTGTTTTGACTGACGTCCAAGAGAGGCTGAAGCAATTTCTGAGTAAACCATCTGAGACATTTACAACCCATGTGTTTGTATATATATATATATATATATATATGTATGTATGATTATATATATATACACATATACATATATATATATATATACATATATATATATATATAGAGACATTTATGGACGAATGAGGGTGCATGTATTATGTAATGCATGCATGGACGCGGTTGGGTCTTTCTAGCTTATGTTTGTGTGTTTGCTTGTGATGAGCATCGGGTTTCGTCGTTCCGTTACGGGCTTGATGTAGTTTACTGCAGAGTTGGGCCGGAAAGCACAAGCTCGAAATCCTAAACCCCAAACCCTAAGCCATTCACCCGAGGTGTCTATGGTACGGGTCGGATCGTGCCGACGCCCGCTGCGTGGTCTTGGACCCGAGGGGGTCTGAAAGGGTTTGGGGGTCACAGCTGAGACGGACGCGGGTCTATTGAGAGGTATGCGTCGGGAAGGCCAGCAATACACCACGGAGCCCAGAAAGAAGACAAACCCCGAAAACGTTGATGAAACCCAGCCTTTTTTCCAAGTTTTGCTAAATGCTGCATCGCACTCTACGGGCTTAGTCAAGCTGCTTCGAAGCCTTATCCCTCCGTTTCAGTATGAGCTCACATGATCATCGACGAAGCTAATGGTCAAGTCATGTCAAGTCCATCTCGTTTTGCTTCTTTTCGCACACCCTCGACCAGGACCTCATCATCGACGATGGCGTGCCAAGCCGAGGCATGCGTGAGGGTTTATGGCATGATCTTGCTTGTTGCGGTTGAAAATCTGAGGTACAGGGTGCTGGGACGCATATTCAACTTCACCTTTGCCCGGGGTCCGAAGCCCGAACAAACTTCTGCGGTTCAGGGGAATATTGAATCTTATATATAGTAACACTATGTATTAATTTATGATAGTTCGTGGCTTAGAAAGCGGAGCGCCTCAGATCAGCACCGCAGGGGTCAGACCTCTCTGCGGTTCTGGGGGTTAGGGTCTGGGATTCAGGGTCAAAGAGATTCAGGATCCACACCCCCACATTAGCCCGCAGCACGAAACAGGTCACATGCCCCGCGAGTGCCCGTAAGGAAGCGCAGCTCAAAATGGGTCAAGCCTTCCATGGGCCACGAATGTTCGGCTTAGGTTGAGGGATCATGGCTGGGTGATCCGTGTCGCGACATGGGCCTAGATGAGGAACTCAAATAGCCAAGTGCCTAAGCCAAACCCCAATAGGATGGAAGTGATTACTGTTAATGCCGAGAAAGCCCGATGTAGGTCATCGACTCGGCGTTCTCGACCCGCGCTACGACACAGCACCTGGGAATGGTTTTGGAGTTTCGGGCACGAATTGAACGTTCGGGCGTTAATGTGTGGGAGCCGCGCTGGGGCTTGAGATTTTAAGTTTTGGGCTCACGCTTGGGGTTTGAGAGCGTGGGCTAGGCCATAGCCTTTCAGGGGCACCCACATACCTTGAAGGGCAGCGTCCATAATGATCCACCACAGCATGGGGAGAAGGAGAGACAGCTTGCAACCTTGTTTTTCCGCTAGATTTCACGTTTTAATATCCCGATGCTCCTACAGCTCTTGTCACCCCCCCCCCCCCCGTGAAGGCTTGCCCTGCTCTCAGTCCGCTCGGTTCTGACAGAGCAAAGCATTCCAAAACTCCACGAATCCGGAGCTTTAATGGCAGTCAAGACTGAAGCTAGCCTGGTCTTCATGAACAGCACTTCAGGGCAACAAGCATCTGCATGCCACTCACAAGTACTTCATCATGTCATTCTCATCACCAAAGATGTAAACACTGCAATGATTCACTGAATCCAGAGATCGCGCTAACAGTTAACCTAGGCTCTGCCACTCTGCAAGCCATCAGTCACTTAGTAGTAGAGTGGTTAAGCTTCAGCCCCGTTGGGGTAGCACCATCCCTACATAATACCCAAGGTCAAGCTTTAGGTTTCCCTAGGATACTGGGCAACTAAGATCATCTCCCCTGCCATGCCATAGGTGGGCGTATCATATGGGTCGCACTGCATCTCGACCTGTGATATGCTCGGGAATGCGGTTTAGGGTTTAGGGCTTTTGGGTTTAGGGTTTAGGGTTTAGGGCTGCTTACCGGTTTCTTCGAGTCTACGGTGGGAGTACAGTGCGAAGGTTCAAGTTCTCAGGGCGGGCTATGGATGCACCAGCTACGATTTCGGAATTCAGGAAGGCTCTGCCTAAACCCTACACCCCTTAACCCTAAACCCTACGAGTTCGTGGCTCTTGGGCCTAGGACGAGCGGCTCCATTAATCTGATCTGCTTTTCGGGCATGTCTTTCCATTCTAGGCACCAGCACCGAAGACTAAACCCTAAGAGTCAACCCGTTTTTCGCACGGTGGTTAGGTTTCGTGGTCACTGGAGGGCAGGGTTCAAGATGTTCAGTTCGGGCGGTGAACGGGGATTGCGGTCTGAGACTGCGACATGGGTGGTTGTCAAAGTTGTGGTTCCTTTTTGGGTCCCTAATGCAGTACGCACCTAACATTTGGGGTTCCCCAAAAGGGACCATAATAATTTTGACAACCACCCACATAGGAAGGCGTCCTTCTCAATACAGGCTTTCCAGAGCTCGAGAGAAAGGGTGCCCGGGTTCTGCTCGGCGTTTCCAAAGATTTTCGGGGCTGTTCGATGTCTTGGGGTTGCTGGGTGGGGCTTGAGTTTCGGAGCCACTTTTTTCGAAATGTGGTTGCATGTGTTTGGGATGGTAAGCGGGGCGGCATCGACCGGCTTCGCAAACACTGTCCAAAAGCAAGTGCTGAATGCCAGGGTTTACAGGATCGGACGTATAGAGGTCAAGCCCCTCAGAGAGGATTAGTGTTTTGGGATTGAGGCTTCAGGCATTCCCATCTTCCGGGTTTGGCGATGGAGTTCAGGTCTTAAGCGCTGGGGTTGGGGGCTTACAGTTTAGGGTGGTTTCGGCTTTAGGGCATTCGGCTTGACTCAAAGTCCTAAGTTTTAGACCCGAAGCTCTAACTTGAAAAAACCCAAAGACTTAACCCCCAGCCGAAATCCCGAGTCTCAGCCCTAAGCCGTAAAACCCTTAAATCCCAAACCGAAACCTTAACCTAACCCCAAGTCCCAATAAGACGTTTCGGGCGTCGATCGGAGGCACATTCGGCCGTTTGGCCGCTCTGGAGTTCGCCCGCGGCTGGGAGCCGGATGAGCTAGCCATGAGCTTCTCGGCAGGTCTTTTACAGCAAGAGCTCAGGAGGGGTATCATAGCAAGGGTTCAAGCTTGTAAGCTTGCTTCTGTAAGTCTTACTGGAAGTGTTTCAATTATGAAGAGGGTTCTGGTGAAATCGGACTATGCGTTTTGGGTTTAGGCCCAAGGGTTTAGAGTGTAAGTGTTCGCAACTGGTACCATACTAAGGGTTCTGTAAGGGTCATATGGCAAGGGTTCGGTAAAGGGGTTCTGATTCTGGTGTCATCCATGTCTGCATGTTTGATTTTATGCAGCCTGCGCGGTACACAAAACACCCTGAACCTAAAAAGCACCATCCAAACCCTAAGCCCTAATCCTTAAACCCTAAACCCTGAAACCCGAAATCTTAAGCCCGAAACCCTTAAAAAAAGCCCTTAAACACCAAACCAAACCCTTAAGCATTAACCCCTCAAACCCTAAACCCTTATCCCCTAAACCCTCAAAACACCAAGAAGAGACCGAGAAGGCGGTCACCGGAGGGGCTCTGGCCAGAGACGCATTATAGAACCCTTATAGATACCCTTAAGGAACCCTGTAGATCCCTTTACAGGGTTTAGGGTTTAGGGTTTAGGGTTTAGGGTTTATGGTTTAGGGTTTAGGGTTTAGGGTTTAGGGACCCCTTACTTACTTCCCATGGATCCTCCAAGTAGAGACCCAGGGCTCCTGCCTCCGAGGCGATCGGCGGAAAGCCGGGCCTCATCGAATCAGCCCGGAGGTGGGGGGCCTTTTGAGGGCTTTTAGGGGTTTGGGGTTTAGGGAATTAGGGACTTTTTTTTGGTTTGGGGTTCTGGGGCTTTTTAAGGGTTAAGGGGTTTAGGGGTTTAGGGTTTTAGGGTTTTAGGGTTCAGGGGTTGCAAGAACAAGGCTTGAGTGCTTCTGTTCGTTTCGTGCTTGGTAGGACCAAGCGTTTTTGGAAGGCTTAGCACTTTAGGATTACAGGCTTGAACGGTGCTGTGAGCGAGGTGTTGGATCTTCAGGGTTTAAACCTCGAAACCCTTAGACCCTACCCCCAAAAGCCCTAACCTAAGGACCTGAGCCCTAACTCCAGCCTAAAAGCTTATCCTGATCCCGTAAGGTTTGCTAGATGAGTTGCCAGGAGGGATCTTATTGGGTTTTACTGTGGCGCCGCTGGGGGCCTAAATTATTGGTAATAAGTGAAAGCTTGAAAGAGCCTGGGTTGAGCTTTGAGGGTTTCGAGGTTCGTCAAGGGCTTTCTGAGCGTTTCAGGGATTCACGGGCTCTTAAGGGCAACAGAGGAGCCTGACGACTTTTGCCTTCTCTTTCCTCTACTGTCAGGGGGTCCGTTCAGGGTATGTCGGCAGCTGTTGGGGTTCAGTGTTGGGCTGTTGTCTGGCTACTGGAACTGTGCTGCTTTGTCACCCGTCAGGGTGTTAAGAAATTGGCATCGTGGCTCTGGGAAGGCTTAAATCGGAAACCTTAAACTTTTGCAACAACGCAGGTGTGTGTTTTCATGACAGTTCCCTGGATGTTCCTGCGGTCTCAAAGCTTCGCTGAAGCCCGAGTCTGCAAGCCTTTCACCCTAAACCTTATATAAAAACTATAGGGTTTAGGGTTCAGGGTTTAGGGTAAACCCTGAGCTCCAAAGCCCCGCATATCCCCGAGGTCATGGCAGCTGCGAAGGCGAAGGCAAGGTCTTCTTTGTACATCATGCGCTGGCCTTGAAATGAAGCTCTTTTCCTGATACCTGCGGTGTTTGCTGTGCAACCTGTCTTGGTGCACCGACGATACCCAGGTGCATCGATGCTAGAGGTGTTACTGATGCCGTTGCTCTTTTCTCTTCTGAAGACTGATGTTGTTTTTGTGTCACTTGTGATGCGATTGAGACGACTGCTGCGATCGTGGTGGTTACTGCTATCACACGCATCACCACTCAAGGGTCCCTGCGATGTACGAACATCAGTCGTCTTTGTCAAGCACATCTACATCGGAACACTGATTGAAGTTATGACGACATGTCATATGGCTCTTGCCGCATGGATGAAGAACCGGAGTATGGCAATATTGGGTTTCGGATGTGGAGTAGGGGCGCATGGCTTTGGATTCAAGACTAGGTAGCTTCAGGTAGCGGCTAACAGCCAAGTGGTAAACCCCTTCAACCCTTCCCTAAGGCTTCCACACCGGCTTGAAGCTCAGCGCAAGATCCAGGGAGTCACATAGGTGCGGTGAGTGGGAAGAGGATTTTCAGATTGGGTCTCCACACCGCTTTCGGAAACCTTCGACCCTAAATCCGAGACATGACATAAGCCCTAGACCCTGAACCCTTAAATCCAACATCCCGAAGCTTAAATCCTAAACCCGAAGCCCCAAACCCAAAACCCAAAGCCCTAAAGCCTTAAGCAGCAAAATCAGGCGGAGACTGCCTGGAGCCTGGGGCTGCTTGGCTTTGAATCTTATCCTCCTTGCGCTTGATGAGCTTGCTTAGGGCTTAGGGCTTAGGGTTTAGGGCTTCGGGTTTAAGGTTTAGGTTTAGGGTGTAAAGCTTAGGGTTTAGGGTCTAGGGTTTCAGAACGGGACGCCGTGCACCCTAGGATTGGGTGTAGGGCTTAGGGCTTAGGGTTTAGGGTTTGCTGCAGTCTCGTGCTCGTAGTATTGAAGGGAAGAGTGCTCATATGATCATTAGAACGTTTATATTCCTGGGCTCCAGTCCTCAATAGCTGAACTTCCAGTCTCGGAACATCGTGATGTAGCAGCAACGACAGTACTTCTAGTATGACCACAGTCATTGTTTGTGGCTGAGGTTGCGGGGCTGCCAGAATGTGTTATGCTTGGTCGTCACAACGACATATATGCAGCTGGAGGCATGTCGGCCAACATAGACACATGAAATCCCGACATAGAACTAAGAAATGCATGCAATTTCGTACACGAGCACGCCACTGCTCCACCATCTCTGCCGCACCGAGGAGCTGCCCTGTCTGCGGGGAGCCGATCAAGGGCGGCAAGGTGGGATTCGCTGGGGAAGTACCTGTGAGGGCTGTGCTGTGGAGGGCCGACCTCGCGAAGCCAGAATTGCTTGTGTTTTGCGGGCCTTAAAATGGGGTCGCCCGACAGCCCCATAACTGTGCAGCTTTGAGATCGTACAAAGACAGGGAATTTTTGCCAGAGGTGACTCTAGCATTTCTGAACAGAGCAGATCAAGCCATGCAGAGTTAGGGTATCGAGAAGGTGGGCCGGAACAGATCATACAAGAGCGGCGGAATTTTCTGGAAGGTATCTCCACCAGATCTGAACAGGACTTCTTGAGCTGTGTAGAGTTACGGTATCGAGAGGTGTGGCTGACGGTTCGGAATTTGTGCACGGTGCTTAACTCCAAAACCCCTCATGCACGACATGGGCTCACCTGGCTCTCGCCAGATTTTTTTTGCTCTTTTAGCAGAGACACATTTGCAAACATTCTTTGCCTCTGCCTTGCTTCTGATTGCATTTGCTGTTGCTAGACCAGTGGTTGCGTTCCCTCAAAAAACCGAACTGCACTTTTCGCTGTTCTCGGAGATTGCACTCTGCTTCAACCATCGTCAAATCGGGTCTTTTTTGCTTCATGGTTGCGTGTGTCTTTGCGCAGGATGGTTGCATCCGCTGTCACAAACCGACCAAAAAAAGATCGCTCGCAGCAGGCGCTCCAACCGACTTTGTTGCTCAGCAAATCCACATCTCTGCGCAACACAGACCCGTGCCGCTGCCACTCCCGGAACACAGGTTTTTTCGGTCTGCCTCAAATGGAAGAACTGCTTTTGAATCAGGTTAGTGACCGCACTCGTTTTGTCTCGTTTCGTTTTGCTTTGAATGTTTAGCTCAAGAAAAAGATCGAGTGCTGCGCACTCTGTTTTTCTTGTTAGTGGACTTCTGAGAGCTGTGAAGCGCCACGGCCTCGCCTGTGCAAGGTTGGAGTTGAGAGTTCTCCCAGAAGGTACCTGTGCCTGAGAAAGCATCGACATTGACCTGTTTGGACCAGATCCTGTTTGTCCCATGAGTCCGCCTGCAGCTCAAAGGTGGAAGTGTTCTGGCTGCTGTGTCTGGAACGTGTTCGGCCACCAGTACCGCCGACGTCCACTTTCGGTGCGGACCAACTGCAGCACACGCGGCTCCAAATGTGGGGTCGAACAAGCTTAGCAATTTTGGCTTCGCTTGAGTGGCCCCCCTCTGTTCTCTCATGTCTGTCACTTCCACGGGCAAGCTGTCTGTTGGACATTCTTGTTGGAGAACGATTTTTCCACACTGGATGCCTGCCTGTGGGCGAGTCGCCTTGATGTAGCAGTGTGGAACGCACGGGCTTGGGCTTGGGCCCCAAAATGAGGAATTCGCGACCCCAAAATAGGGGCCGCCAAGCGGCACCGATTTTGGGGTCCTCTGGTTGCCAGTCAAAATATGTTGAAGGAGGTTGACTGGATTTCGCGGCTCCTTTTCTGGGGCCGCGAGACGGCCCCATTTTTGGGGTCGCAAGTTTGATTCCTGCGGCTGAATCTCGTCAGCTGCGCATGTCATTGATTGTATTGACTTTGGGGAGCGTCTGGTGGAGGACCGTTTTGAAGGTCGGAACTTGTCCAAAGCAGCTGTGTTGCTCGCCCTTAATAGTGCTGCAGCCAGCGGAATGCAACTGTGGAGGGCCGACCTCGCGAAGCCAGAATTGCTTGTGTTTCGCGGGCCTTAAAATGGGGTCGCCCGACAGCCCCATAACTGTGCAGCTTTGAGATCGTACAAAGACAGGGAATTTTTGCCAGAGGTGACTCTAGCATTTCTGAACAGAGCAGATCAAGCCATGCAGAGTTATGGTATCGAGAAGGTGGGCCGGAACAGATCATACAAGAGCGGCGGAATTTTCTGGAAGGTATCTCCACCGGATCTGAACAGGACTTCTTGAGCTGTGTAGAGTTATGGATCGAGAGGTGTGGCTGACGGTTCGGAATTTGTGCACGGTGCTTAACTCCAAAACCCCTCATGCACGACATGGGCTCACCTGGCTCTCGCCAGATTTTTTTTGCTCTTTTAGCAGAGACCCATTTGCAACATTCTTTGACTCTGCCTTGCTTCTGATTGCATTTGCTGTTGCTAGACCAGTGGTTGCGTTCCCTCAAAAAACCAAACTGCACTTTTCGCTGTTCTCGGAGATTGCACCTCTGCTTCA